ACAGGACTTTCAAACAGAAGACTCGAGTATTAGAGGGATGTGAGAGCAGATATTAATAAAGCATCGGTATAAAAGGCCTCTTTCTGCTTCATGCAATGAGACACATATTTAAGTATAATAAAAATCACACTTCCAGTTTCAGAGCAGTAAACTCAAGAAGTGTGAGTTTTTAAGTGTTGCTGCCTTCGCCACTGCAGTCTGGACCATCAGGACTTACTGAGTGTGCCATTCATCCCTGGAGTATCCTGTGTGTGTGTGTGTGTGTGTTGTTTTCCCCTGTTTCTTTTTCACGTGGATAATGTAATTGACCAAGGGAGGGAATTCAGGCCAGGACAGAAGGAAGCACGTAACAGGATCGGCTCGTGCTTGGAGTTTGTGCCCTTTTTGTTTTGGTTTTTTGGAGATTTTTGAAGAAATCTTTGACTGAAGGCTGTTTTGGGATTTTATTGTGAAGGATCAATATCCATTATTTTTTTAAAAAACTTTTGGAAAGAGCCAATGGGAGCTAAGTTTACCATCTGCTGCTGTCGCTACCTGAAACACAACCAAGAAGAGAGGAATGCTATTTTGCGGTTAGAGAAACTCTGTTACAATCCCAACTCTTCACCCTTTATTCCTCTTCTTATTTTAATATACCAAAGTACACATTTATAGTATCCTAGTTTTATTTCTTTCTCTCTAGGATGCACAGCACTCCCAGACCACTTGAGCAGCTATCCAGTGGGTCTAGTGACAGTGAGACAGAAGAGAAGAACATATTCGGACCACCACCTTCAAGAACGAGTCAGTGGAAAAACCAGCAAAGCCAGAGGAGCACCGCTGATCAGCGGGCCATCGCAGACAGAGCTGAAAACACTCCCATCAGTCAGGGACTGGATCGAGAGTTACAGGCTTTCATCAGCATGAGAGACCAGACTGACGAGGCTACGGAGGTGACAGAAAACATGCTGTACACTACAGACGCTGAAATAAGCGTATTCAAACAGCAGCGTTTATCGCAACACTGGGAAAAAACACATATTTATAAAACAATCTGTTCTCATCTGGGTGTGTAACATATAGGAGTCAATCTGCTCACAGGATATGCCACTTAAGCTTGTAAACTTATATAAACATTTGGCTGATTAAACTATATAATAGGATATTTTTTATTAATATTTGTGTGTATTCTCCAGCAGTTTAAAAGACGTCGAGGTACGTTCCAGTGAATGCAGTTTTAATTAAGAATTTAAGGAATCTTTCAAAAAACACAAACAAAGCAAAACCCAACATTTACTGGCCAAACTGGAGTTCCTCGTGACTGGATGCTGTCAGAAAATTTCCATCTGCTCTCCACTGGATCTCTCTAATGTAATAATCTAAAAAGGGCAGACACACAGGTGACTATCATAGAAGCCTGATTTATGTCAATAAATAATAATAGTGCCACAGATACAGGATGGTGTTTCATTGACAAAAAAGCCATAATAATTATGAATATGCATAAAAGCCTTTGTTAGATTAGATTAGCTGAGAAAGTGCGAGGCCAGAGGAAAAGCTGTTGCTCTCACTCAGAAAATGAGAAAGAATGCAGCTGTCTAAAAACAGCTATTCAGCAAATGTGACCACGGGTCAATTAGTGATTGAGCACCGACACACACAAACACACAAACGACACACAGAGACCACGTGCTCCTTACTTACTCAGTCACCCAGCGCCTATCGCTGCTGTATAATTGTTAGTTAGACTCCATCAAAATAACTTTGTCGGTGTGCTTGTGTTTGGAGGTGGTGGATATACAAACCCCAGCACGTCTCGACTTTTGATTTTGCATCCTTATTTTTTCAGGGTTTTTTGGTGACATTAGCAAGCAAAGTTTATTTGTTTGTTTTTTCTCAACTTTTGAGTCGTGCTTCATTTCTGCGCAGAGGGAACACATCAGGACAGAGGCTGTTTTCTCAGAATTTCAGGACCGCAGCTCAGTGAGAGTTTGAGTTTAGTGCACACGTCAGGCTGCAGGACACAGTGGACACATTGTGTAAATAAATGAACTCCTTGATGGAGATGTAGGTCATTAGCTTGGCAGGCCGGTCAAAGAGAATATTCACTGCACAATTCTCAGCGTGCTGCGGGACTGCTTTTAATATTAGGACAAAAACAAAAAACTCAGCAGGCCTGAAACATTAAAGAGTCCTCACAGCGGTGGGGGCCGAAGGGGTGGGGGGCTAT